CTATTAGCTCGAAATCCACACTGTGATTCTGGATAGACTCTGTCTGCAAGCACCTGGAGCCTCTTCAGCACAACACGGGCAAGCAGCTTCCCTACAACGCTAAGAAGAGAGATACCACGGTAGTTATTGCAGTCACCCCTGTCACCTTTGTTCTTGTACAACGTGACAATGTTTGCATCCTTCATGTCCTGTGGTACTCCACCTTCCCTCCAGCAGAGACAAAAGATTTCATACAGTTCGGTGATGATGATCTCCTTACCGCATTTCAGCACTTCAACAGGGATGTTGTCCCTTCCAGGTGCCTTGCCAGAGGTGAGGGAATCCAAGGCCGCATTTATTTCTGCTAGGGTTGGTTCGCTGTCCAGCTCTTCCAAGACAGGCAGGCACTCAATGTTATTTAATGCTTCTTCGGTTACTACATTCTTTCTGGAATATAGCTCGGAGTAGTGCTGCACCCAGCGTTCCATCTGCTGTGCTCGGTCCTGGATGATCACACCTGTAGTAGACTTCAAGGGAGCAGATTTCTTCTGTAATGGACCTAAGGCCTGCTTGATACCATCATACATTCCTTTGATGTTACCTGTGTCCGCTGCTATCTGTATCTGAGAGGAAAGCTGAAGCCAGTAGTCATTGGAGCATCTCCTGGCAGCCTGTTGGACTTGGCTACGAGCGGCTCGAAGAGCTTGCAGGTTGTACTCGCTAGGACAGGCTTTGTCCACATATATATATATATTTGTGCACACTGCTCCTGTTTGGTGGTACTGTGTGTGTGTGTGTATATACTGTACCACCGTATTCTATGCTCTGCCATGGCAATGTGAATGGCATGGTCATATATACTCTCTCTCTCTCTCTCTCTCTCTGCATTGGGTCTGGGTCCAAATGATGTCTTGAATTAAACTATGTCATTCTGGACCCATGCCATGATGCATGTTCACAGACTCACAAATAGGAATGTTGGTAATAAGAATCAAGGAGAAAATCCACTTTGCACCAAGCAGGAGCAGTGTGCACAAATAGTGTATATCTCCAGAATATCTTTAAAGTCTCGAGCCCCTTGCTAACACTTCTCTTACTAGAATTTAATTGATCTTTTATCTGAGGAGAAGACACAGCCAAAAGCAAACCTTATTCCATCCACCATCCATCCACTTGAGGGTGTCAAGGCCAGGTAGTCCATAGAGAAAAGCAAGTGGATATAAAGCAGAACTACTACAAGTTTTTCTTTGTCTTCCCATGCCACCCACTTTGTTGTATGTCATTACCGAATCTTGGCTAGATTGTATTACTCAAACATTCTTCCCACCCACACAGAGTCTGTTTCATAAACAGGGGAAGCACTTAGCTCAACATGCATGTAAACTCTTTATGGGTAAAGACCAAACATGACCTAGTGCTACTGCTGGTGGCTAGATAGTCATGGCCACTCTTGCATCTTGCACGACCACAGCCT